CTAGTAGCGTCCTTTGCTCCTAGTAGCGATGCCAGGAGCCCCTAGTAGCATCCTTTGCTCCTAGTAGCGATGCCAGGAGCCCCTAGTACCTAGTGCAAGGGGCTGGAGGAGAGATGAGAATGATGAGAGCACGACATCAGTAGAGAGATGATTGATGTCACAGTTGTTGTACCTGTATGATTTTGCATCGGTTATATAGATGAGCTTTCAATGGTCAATCAAGGGGTAAACAATACATTGCATCACACTGGGGTGTAGTGCAAGTTTCATGTGAGGCCTCAGGCCAAAGGCACGGCTGCGTTTGGATTGTCAGAGACATCACCTGCCATGCTATCACATGTTGGAAAAGATTGCCCGAAGGCTTATCAGCAGATCATCTGACAATCTGACAAAGTGGGAACGTGATTGTGCGTGCGCGCTTCCCCAAGCTGTAGTTCAACCGGTTGCAACAACTATTTTCATTCTCAGCAAAACCAACGTCCCTGCTTTCCTGTGGTATCCACAGTGCATGCCCCTGCAACGCAAGGGTTTTGGTCCCTTGCTAGCTGTCGGACTGTCTGTGTATATTAACCCATTCCTTTGCGGACTTCCATTCATCATTTCAATTGCCATCACTCAGGCCAATTGCATGTTAGACATTCTTAGAACAGTTCAGTAAATGAAAGGGAGACGGTTTCGGCCGTCACCATGTGGATTGTGCAGGCTGGTTTGATGCGTGGGGAGCTTTGACAGGAAAGAGCTTCCGAGATCCTTCTGATGTTGCACAAACTTTGCACAACACGCTAGATGCTGGCGCATCAGTGAACTTCTTTGTATTTCATGGAGGCACTTCTTTTGGCTTTTGTGGGCCTGGTGGTAACTTGTCTAGTGTTGGCCTGTACGAACCGCAAGTGACCTCGTATGACTACGGTGGTCTTCTTGACGAGGCTGGCGAAGTTACAGAAAAGTATTTGCAATGCAGGAAAGTCTTGGCAAATTTTTTGCAGAAGCCCGATTTACTTGAGAAGACTTTCCCAACAGCAAGGCGGTTGCCCGAGTCCCCTCCATTGGAATTGGAGTCAACTCTGTCTTTGGAAGACGCTCTCCCTGCGTTAACTAGTGATGGTGCAACCTGCATCAAGTCTGCTGTACCTTTGCCCGCAGAGCAAGTTGGCCTTGGATATGGATACATCATGTATCGTGCTCAGGTCCCATCGACAAACAAGCTGCCCTTGACATTTGGTAAAGATTCTATCAGAGATTTCGCAAGTATCATGAGTGGGGGACGAGTTTTGGGCACAATTTACCGGAATGACTCAGGGCCGGGATGCCGTGAATTCGAGCTGCCTGAGCAGGGCTGTCAGCTGGAAGTCCTGGTTGAGATGATGGGACGGGTGAATTTTGGCCCCGCGCTTCTGACAGAAAGAAAGGGCTTGGTGGGTCCTGGAAGGGTGCAGCTAGGAACACCATTCACAGGTCCCATGCGCGCTGTATTGGGCTGGGAGATTCTTCCGCTTCCAATGGAAGAACAAGATTTGGCAAGAATTCCATGGGGTATGGATGTTTCTATGGGGAAAAGAACTTCTCGTTGGAATCGTGGCCCTCGTTTTTATCGTTTCGCCTTACATGTACAGCAGCCAGCAGATAGATTTTTGGCCTTGGACGGCTTCAACAAAGGCTTTGCTTGTATCAATGGCTTCAACCTGGGGCGCTACTGGAAGGCACACGATTTGCTTGGTTTGCACCTCTCCCAGTACGCAGACATCTTTTTTGCAGATTTTAATTTTGGTAGCCTTTGCAGGTGGGACCTCAGAGATCGCTGTATATTCCTGGGCCACTTCTTCGGAGGGGTCGCAATGAGGCGAGGGTCGAACGAGAGGGCTTGTGCCTCTGCAACCAAATGCAAGTGTAGTGCCACACCAAACACCAACCAATTCTGCAGTGGCAATGATTCACATTCTAAAGATTTCTGGACCATTCTGGACCTAGTTCTGCCAGATCATTATTTTCGACATCGACAGTCCTTCCTGTGGTACCAAAGATGCACCCCCTGCTCCGCGAGTGGTGCCAGGGTCTGAGATTTGCACTTTGGGGTGAAATTGTACTCATTGCACCAGTGCAAGAATCTCACTGCCTGGAGTGGACCTCATAAAAAATTGCTCAGAAATGCTTGTTATGTTGTTGTTCTTCCCTTTGCTCTTTGTCTTTACTTATTGACTCTTGACCTCTAGACCTTTGCATGGTTCTCTTTCCTTTTTCTTTATAGACAACACCACTTTTTTCCTTTGCAAGCAGGCAGACTGCTTTCGACTAGAACGCTTCCGGGTTCGGTTTTGAAAGGAAGGTGCGCATTTCAATCTGCATCTCTCAACTTGAGGTCCAAGCCTATTTGGTCATCAGGCATGTTGCCCGAAGGAGCAAAGGTGGGATTATTGCAGATTCCCATGCTTTTAGCTGTTCAGTTTTTTGGCTTGCTGGTGGATGCTCGCCAAGGTCACAGCAGGATATCTCAGATAATGAATGCTTGTTCTAAGCATAGGTTCGATTCAAGAGTCACATGGTTTTTGAGCCAGGAAGCTGCTGCTTCAGTGTCCAGTTTTTTCAAGTCCTGGACGTCCTGAGAGTTTGAGTGGAATCCTCTCGCTTCGACCAGTCTTGAGTGGAAAATGTCCGTTGCTCGCATGGGAAGAGTGTATATATAGCACTCCTGTTATATAGTATGGAGTAGTTTGAAGCAGTATAAAGGCCAGAATGGCAGACAAATGCGAAAAGAAAGACCCCTTTTCGTTGCAATGCAAGTCGTTGTACAGTTGCCAAACAACAACATGTGCAAACTGATTGACCATGGCCGCTTGCTATTTCTTGGCCAGGTGACCGATGTAGCTGTTCTCGAGGGTCAAGTTGAGGAGGGAATTCGGACGACCAGCAAACGCTTCGCTTGTCTTTTGATCCTGTTTAACATCGAATCACTGAAGCTAAGTTTCCCAAAAAATCTAGGAACCAAATCATTAGTACGGGCATTTCCCTAAAGGCGGCGGGGGAGCTTCCTAAGGAAGGAGGCAGGGCCACGGGCAAAAAGAGGGGAGATGTCTAGGAAAGATTGCAGACACAGACTCTGAATGCAGGAGCCGGACTCGTGGTGGTCTGAGATGAGACAGAGACTGTTGGGAGACGAACTCTCCAATTTCGTCGAAGAGTTCAAAGGAATGTCCGTTCGCGCACTGCATTTTAAGGGCTGCCATTCCTTTGTGGCTTTCAGCCCCTTCACCAGTGAGCAGAAAAGCAGAGCTTCCGTTTGAAGGTGTGGCGCGTACGGACTGTGGGGTTAGACTGGGCCTACACCAAAACAAAGCTACACCTTTGGGTCACAGAGCTGCGATTTTTCGGGATCTCCCGCCATTTGTGGTGATGGAACTGGCTGTAAACAGTGAATGAAGACTCGGTTTCGTCGCTCAGATACTGACCTTTCTGAGCTGATGTTGTGGGACTTGCCGCCAGTTGCCCAGTGGATTTGTCCTGGCCAGGTAGACCCAGCAAAGCTTGGCTTAGCTTTAACACCATTGGCCGAAGGAATCTACAAATAAAACTCTGCATAGAAGGGTTTGTCGTAGGCACTCCTTTATCGTAGGCACTCCTTGGCAACAAGGATTATCTACGCAGCTTCGCAAACTTCACGCAAGCTAAAAGCTGCGTCAGCTTGAGGCCCATCCCCTTCGGTCAGCTTCCTGCCTGCGAGCAGTGTCCTGAGGTTCTAGGATGCCGTCCTTCGACGAGAGCTTTCATAAATAGCAAGGACAATGACTCTCCATCCTGAGAATCAACATGAGAACTGATACCAAGATGAAGCGAACCAAACTGTTTGAGGGTGCCAACGATCCCAACTCAGAGGCCAGGCCTGCCGGGCCGATGGCAAATTCCTCGGAAAGTACCAGCAGGACGTTGGGTACAGGCCGGCTTTCGTGAAAGTACATTTGCTTTTCTCTCTTACTATAGCATTCGGACACAAGTCTTTGATTCTTGGCGCACCTGCCTGAAAGCCTTGACATGTTTACATTCGTTCAGTAAAGCAGGCAAAAATCAGGACCACATTGCTTGCCTGGTTTTATATAATTTTAGGACGTCATGTCTTGCTTAGGATTGTTCAGCAGTGCCTTTCTTAAAACACTGAGCAGCCAAATTGCGAGAGGGTGAGCATATGCTCAGCATGGCTTTAAGCAACAAAGAGATGGGATACAAAAGAAGACACACCATTCACCACGCCCAAACCTTTTGCTTTGACTATGTGAGAAACTATCACATGAAAGGTCAGGTGGGTAGCTGAAAATGGTTTGCTTTGGTACTGCGAGACTTCGGGTGGTTTCTGCCATGCCAGGCACAGACGCAAAGCACATACCAACCTTGCCCGGTAGTTTAGCAGCTCTTGACGGCTGACAGGAATTGCTTTATCTTCATTCCTTGTTGCGCAAACACCTTTCTCGACAATTTTCGGCTCATTCTTTCCTTGATATGCTACTGAAAAGAGGCGGCCCTTTCCAGCTACCTTTGCTTTCTAGCAATCTATTTTCGCTCAATTGCAAAGAAGCAAAGGAGCAAAGACCAAAAGATGGGGGGAAGGACATGGGAGGACACCCTGCACTCCCGACACCTCCCGGCAATCACTAAGGTTCCCACTGTTTCCAAATACCTTGAGCATGACAGCGCATTGGTAACTGTTAACTACAAACTTACTAGCAATGATTTTGATGTACTGTAAGCGGGTCACTGGCAGTCAGAGCCGAAACCCGTTCTGCCTATGCCTCTATCGTCCTCTACCCACGCGCAGGGCCGTCCATTGGGTGACTTTGATCGCTGCGGCCTTGATCGGAGATTGACAGACACGAGACAACGCAGAATCAACTCAATGAGCTTATTTTAATTCTATTTATTTCTTGTTTCTAATAGCTTCTTGTTACTAGTAGTACGGCCAGGAGCCCCTAGTCGCATCCTTGTTCCTAGTAGCGATGCCAGGAGCCCCTAGTAGCGTCCTTGCTCCTTTGAGTGGAATTCTGCGTGGCTTGTACTGACAGGCTCAAACGTTCAACTCAATGAACTTGTTTCTGTGGGCTTATTGCCGTCGGAAACTTATTCTGCAAACCTCACTCGTGTCGGTGTCAGACTTCTCAAATGGGCTTCCAGGTTGCATCCTTGCACTGCACGGTTGCCTTTAGCGGCTCCCGTGGCCCGATCTCTGCCAGAGCTTTGCTGGCTTGTTTACTTGGGTGACTCATAGAAATACAAGCCGAGTTCCCAATTGAGCAAGGGACACATTATTCGCATACTGCATACATACATGTTGCATGTTATATAATGAAGGGGGGACATGGGACAACCAGAACCTGCATCGAACCTACTGCAAAATCGATTGGGGACCTACACAATTCATTTTTGCCCGGCACCCAAAATCACATTGGAAGCGGGATGGAAGACGGATTGATCGAATTGATAGCTAGCAGCACCGCCGGTAGACCTGCCAGGTCTTCGGAAACCTATGCAGCTGGTGCACCGTGCACCTGGGTTCAGCGGGCACATAGGCATGGCCGCGCACATTACTACAAAAAGCATCTCCACAGGGATGAGTGGTGCTTTGACAAGCGAACCGACCATGACTACGGAAGAGTATGAAGCAAACATTTTAGGCCAAAGAATGAAGGAGAGAGGAGTGAGAGAAGAAAAGATGTAACGGACAAAAGGTGTCAATCAGGTGTACTTTCCTGAGAAAGTCTAGGACCGAATTCATTCAGCGAGGAGAAGCTTCCCTAGCTACTAGTGTGTGGTTACATGTCATAGCTTGCCTTCCACTACTTATCTCACTATATACTAGCTACTGTACCATTTCACACCTCTTCAGGCCTCCTTCCCACACAAAATGGGACTAAGCAAGGAGAATCTTGCAAGAAAGGACGCAATGACAAGGCTTTCTCGTGACGCAAGGGGAGAATCTTGCAAGGTAGTGCTCCTATACAAGTACTTTCTACATCTTTCTACATCAATCCCAAAGATTCTCCTGAGTTCTCTTACTTATTTTGATATGTTTAGTACCAGTAAAGCTATTTTTTCCTTGCTAAATGGTTGTCTTGAACATATGTAAACTACGCAATAACCATGCCAAATGCCTGAGAAAGAAATCAGATAACTTGCGAAATGACATGTGAACACAAAAACCATGCCTGGAGTCAAGCACCGACGCAGGCTCCTTCCTGCTGACATGAAGTCCTTGCTGGTGGTTTGGGCCCTCTTCTCAACCCGACTCCTAATCAGATCAAGAAGTGGGTTTACTTTCCGGCAAGGCGTTTCTTTGAGAATCCTCTTTTGTTTGACTCAGCCTGAATGTCGAAGAAAGTTGTAGTTAGCCAGTGGTTCTGCTTCCAAGCCTTTTGCGTCAATCTTCTCCACAATGGTTAGTGACTCAGCACCTGTTCTGCACTTCCAGTTGCCACTAGCCAAGTCAAACATATTTATATACAGTCTATAACTATATAATTAAAGTACTTATGCTATGATAGCAATTGCATGCCTGGCATGACCCACACTTTTCTCACTGCCCAATTTTTCATTGCCCGTCTCACCTACAGGACCCATAGCTTTCAAAGCTCCACCATGGCAACATACCGTTGCATTTTGTTTGCATTGTCTTGCATATATTTTCACACATGACGTAACTACTCACGCATATTTTCACTCCTTTTCCGGTCCCTTGTCCTCTCATTGGACACTTTTGCTTCTTTTTACACTCCTATCATGATCCATCTAGTGCAATGCCGTGGCAAGCCATCTGAGGAACAGCAAGACAACATCTCAACATAAAGTGGTACATGCAAAGGAAACCAGAATCATCAAGTCAACGGCATTTTTGCATTGTGGACATTATTTTGCACCCTCCATGAATAGAATAGAAGGTTGCATGAAAGGGATCACCTGAATCCCGGCAACAGGAAAGGCTATGAAGTGTCTTGCCTTGCCGTTGAGGTGGGTGCTTCAGTAGAGATGGCACGCAGCAGTGGCCGTGGCTGCCGTCTCCGGCAAGAGGTGAACCTGCAGTGTTGTGATGAATATATATGTATATATATATGTGGAAGCAGGAATAAAGAATGAAGTATCAGATCATGCTTCGTGACAAATATATTAATATTAATACAGTAATACATATATAATTATATCTACATAATTGTAGAAGAGGATGCTAGAGTCTACACTTTGAACTTCATAGTTCAAAAGTTGATGTATTCTTCCATAGGATGCTTTTGTGAGACCAAAAGAAAGAGGGGAGCAAGCAAGAATTTGAAGAACGCAGTGTAGCTGCAACTTTGCTGTTCGGAAATGGGTACTTCTTTGAACTCTGAATTCGCTCATCGATTTCGCAGGGTATCCCCACAGTCTTGGCCTTTACTGGGCCAAAGGATGCTGCACAGCAGAGACAGGACTTGCCTCAGCTGGAGTTGCTTGAGTAGAAGAGAAGCAATTTCCTTTTTTTTTTTTTTCGCATTCTATTTGTGGCATTCAGTGGCTGATAGGAGATCCTGAAACGTCGTGATCAAGTGCTCGGATTGTAGCTTTTGCGAGACGGTGTGCGACACTTTTTTTGATAGGGAGATCAAAAGCCATGGTGGCAAGATGCTGCGAACCTGGGAGAACGCCAGCAGGTCAATACGGCCCTTGTACATAGAACTACTTTGGCGTCACCACAAGTACTAGAATTACTAGACACTGTGCAATATCAAAACTCTGGAGCGTTTGCCGCCCTTCGCTTTGTAAGTTGATGAGGCACACCAAGGACTTCCGAAACTAGTGTCTTCGCAATGAGTACACTTTTTTATCAGAGATGACTGACGCTTCCGATGACCGAGCCCCTTGATGATGATGCTACTGTGCTTCATTGTGCCGATTCGATGTTTTTGTGGCCTGGATCGGTTGTGCGCGAAAGATGATTGTCTGATTGTCAAGTTGCATGTGGTGACATTTCAGGGTCAAATCCACGCCTGTAGCGTGTAACCATGATTAGGTGAGAGATCAGCTAGAAGTGGGCGGCTTACAGCAGAGCGGTCCATGTTGGAATCACTGCCATCCTTTGACAATATTTGAGAAGAGTGGGCCTTCGTAAAGGAATAGGTCGTCAAAATGTGTTGTCAGGGGCGTTACTTGCGTCAGTGCTGAAAGTCATACCCGGATTGGAGTCACCCTGCACACCTTCAAGATGGATGACCTGAAGATGAACAGGAAATTCGCAGGCATGCAAGGTGTTCCATCGCTTTCTCGTGCGTAAGCAACTTCCAAAACTGATCAAGCAGCAGAAAAAAGCCGCTCCGCAGGATGTGAAGCGGACTGGTAGACTGGGCTTGCCACAATCATGCTAAATGCCTGACCCAAACTAGGCTCAGAAACGCGCTCACATTGCAGACTGAGGTCATTTGCAATGCTCCATTTCGTTCCACTAGTTGCTGGGGTAGACTGCCGCTGCTGTTACCTTGAACCCTTAGTCATTTGAACCTTGTTGGGCGCACGCGGATCCGGAAGACTTGAATTGATCAAGCAATTCTCTGACTTGGAAGGGCCGGAGAGCCGCATGAACACGGATCTGGCCTTTTCGTCCTCCTCCATCTTCAAGTTGGAAGATTATCCCGTTCTGCAGGACCAATCATGTTCTTCCAGCCAGACACAATTGAAACGGCCCCACACGTTCCTCTTTCAGCCTGAGAACCATCCATCATCTCTTTACGTGTAAACAGCGACGGTAGCATTTTTCCAATGGGCTCGGAGAACTGTTGCGGGCTGGTTCCCTGGAAACGACAGCAGGTTTCGTGAACCGGGTGGAATCATGCAGCCAAGCATGGCAATCGTGACACTCACCAAATAGGGTGCACACAGCATCTATGATTGAGAGATTGAACTCAACACACAGAGCCAAAATCCCTAAAAAAGTAAAAACAAAAAAAACAGCAAAAGCAAACAGGAAAAACAAATCCACACTCAGGAGAAGAGGTCTACTCAGGACAGGACTCATAAAACACCAAACAAGAAGCAAATATGAGAAACAATATGGAAGGAAAACATCAAATACGGATTCAAAACAAAAAACAGTCAAAAAACACAACAGTGTGAATAAATTGTTTAGTCTGGGCTGGAAGTTGCAAGCAGCTGAAACTGAAAAGTAGCGGCAGCAATCACTGAGTGTTTTGCTGAGTCCGGCTTTGTTTTTTCTCCTTTGTTCAACCTTCTGCTATTTGAGCCTCCAGTTGAGTGTGTTTTTGTGTTTGGTTTTGAGTTCTGGTGTCCCATGACTGCTTTGACTGCTGCGGTTCTGGGACAGGCGCCGTCGGTCCTGAAATCAACTCAAGCTGTGAGCGGCTGAAGCTTCCTGCCTGGGCGGACCTGGGCTACATGCGTATTTGTCAATTTACTTTCCTTTAGTTCCTTTCTCCGTTCTCCTGACGACACCTATGGACCCGCTCCTCAGGGTGCCTGGTGCCTGCTTTCCTCCATGTTTTTAACCTGAGAGTCGACTGGGATCGGTGTCGGTTTTGGGTGCCATCCCAGTCTGATTGTACTTGGACTTTTAACCACTGGAGGAAGGCCAACCAACAAGCAAAAGTGTGCTGCTTTGCTTGTGTGTGTTGTTTTTTGGACTTGATGTTTGAAGAAATCTCGAACCTCTTCTTTGTGTTAGTTAGATTTCTTAAATCTATGGGAAGTCGTCCAGCTTGATCCGTTGTCACTTGTAAAACATCAAAATCCGACATGCAATACTTCGGCACTTGTGGCTTAGCTCCTGGCCTCACTCACTCCAAAACAGTTGACTCCCATGATTTCCTGTTGCTCAAAAGCAGACTTGTTCTTGGACGAATACTACCTCTGCCATTGGTGGTGGTTCCTCGCCTTTTGGGCTCAGCTCGCTGACCGGAGACATTCTCATCTGCCATTGACGCATTCGCACCTGATCTCTGCCGTAGCCCTAGCTGGATTGACATTTGGCTGATGTTGCCATGATTCGCCATTTGTTTTGCACCGTGCAAATTTGGAGCGCTTTTGCCTCCCTAAGGAACCATTCATTGGATCATGTCTGCAGTACAGGTTTGCGATGTCGAGAGCCCAACGATTTTTCAAACAGGTTAAGCTATCAAGTGGAGCAATTTGGCAGATACTTCTGCCTGTTGCAAGAGCATTTCATCGGCCTTTTGCTGAGTAGCCAAGTTCTGCTAGACAAACACATCCTGAGGTTCAGGGCATGTGCCACAATGCCCCCGTCATTCAGGAGCACTTGCAAACATTACTGGGAATGTTTTGCAACAAGTGCAAGTGTGAGTGTGTGTGTGTGGGTGACACTGCGCTTGTGTGTGATGTGTCGAAGGTGTGAGGTGAGCAGTTAGGTTTGCATTCTCTCCCTCTCTACATATTATATATATATATTTGGTTGGATGGAACGGCATGTTTAACCGAAATCACCACACACCAGCACGGTGGTCCCTCCAGCTGGCTGCGCTATGACGAGCAACATGACATTAGCAAACCTCAATAGTTTTCACGTGCTGCTCCCGTGGTAGCTCTGGTCCAGCAATGAACACAGAGGCAAGTGACCCTTGGCCCAAGCGTGGCTCCAACATACTTGTACCCGAAGCCGGCATAGCTAAGCTACTTTACCTAGCAGCACGAACTTGTTATTGACACGGTCAAACCAAAGCATTCATATGCGCAACAATCGACACACCACAGAGTGCAACTTTAGGAACGATTACGAGAAGCAAACTTTAGGAAGAAACTTGGGGCCTTGTGCATTTAGCAAAGAAATAAATTCTTTCTTTAACGGGATAGTAGGAGCTGAGCAGCTGGAAGCTACTGCAAGATATACAAGATAAGTTTTCGTTTAATGAACAGGGCAAGCTAAACTAACTAGAAAGGCAGCATAGACAAGATTTGACGAGATTTTGCATTCGGTGGTTCTACAGGAGAAGGGAGAAATTCAGCTCACGTCTGGCACGCGGGGCTGGCACTATTTGAGCTGCTTTCTTCATTGTAAAATACTGCAAGCGTAGTTTTTCGGTCTTGATTGATGACAGGCTGCAGCCGTGCAAGCAGATCGATGAGTCTCCAGGTGACAGTTCGGAGCTAAGCCAAAGCCTACACAAGAGCGCTGGATCGCCACAGAAGCATTTTCAAATCCGTACAAGTGGTTTGCAAGGCCTGGATGATAGTTCAGATGGTTACGACGATGACAATTCGCCTGGCTCTCAATATTGCAAGGAACAGCATCCTTCTCATACTTCCAAATTATTCTGCTTTCCTGATTGTATGAAGCTGAACTCAGGTGTCGTGACGAAGATGACTACTATGCATTTCTCCGCGAGATGGTACGCAGTGTTTCTTTTTCAGAGCACCCATGAAGAAAGCTTGCTAAACTTGAGTCCTGCGCATGTTGCAGACACATGTGTCAAGAACAGGCAAATAAATGCAGGCTTTCAGCAAGCTGTTGATTGCATCCAATCAGCTTTGTACAAAGATTGCTATCAGGTTCATTCATACTTATATACATAACCATTGTGTTTGACTAACATATTGTGATAGCTCCAACGATCATTTGCGCGATAGGCGGGATCATTCGAGGCAACCTACGATGAGGACTTTTTGTGTACATTGTAAGTGCATTTTAACGTTTTGATCAAACAATGTTCATCGAAAAGAATCCTTCTATTTTGTGATATAGCAAAACAAAAAGACAACTGGAAAACATGCTGAGCAACCATCCTCAGATTGCTACAATTTGTTTCTGCACATTAGATCATCCCGTTGAGCATTTTATTGACTTTGCCTATTTGCTTTGCCTTCAGCTACGTTCGTTGGGCTTATTCGTGCCCTTATTTCAGTTCTGAAAAGCTGTCTCCTCCGAATGGTGTTTATCGTCATACACTCTGCTCGAGACTCTGCATATGGTTTGAGATCGGCCCGCAGGCTTTGCTCGTTGGTTGATTGATGGGATGCACGTTCCAAGATTTGCATGGCTTTTTGGCAAGTCATGAAGGATCAGTCCTGAAAGACCATGAGCATTAGACTGGGTTGCTGAGATGCTGAGCAGGTTATGAGGTTTTGCTCCCCTGACATTCTGATTCGTTGGATGTTCTTTTCAACAAATACATTGACTCGATCAACTCCTCCAATTTGCTTCAACTCCAAAGAGTGCACTGACTGCGCCGGGAGTGCTATTGCCATGCCATTTTTGCGGTCGAAGCTGGACAAGAACGCCGTCAGCCTGCCGCATTTGTTTGGGGTCAACCTTGATGAGAGAACAGAATTAAGTTTCAGTGCACATTTATCGCTATTAGGTTGGAGGCCATCGCTAGTAGATCGGAGAATCTCTGCTGCAGGTCTACTTCAAATTCGCTCATGAAGGCCATGCTCTGGAAAAGGTGGAGCAGAAGCCTCGGCTGACCGACAAAGGCTCTTAGTTTCAAAGCATAGTGTTTCTGGCTCTTTGGCCTTGTACATCCTTGATGTTTCAGTGGGATTCACTTCCTCCTCTTCCCAGAGCACCCACAGATAAGCAACAAAATGTTTATGGTATGTATTAGACCGTCCTTCAGATGTCTTTAGCAAGCGTCGTCTTCAGTATCACCCCCAAAGGTAGTGACAACAAAATCCAATGTGGTCTCGGAACATTTCAGAACAGGATCAGATGGCTGACCTGTTCCTTGCTGTCATTCTGGCGAAAGAACCGATAGGCTTCCTTTCAGACCTTATTGGGGTGGAAGAAGCTGGGCAGCTCCGCCGTCGGCAGACCATGGTTGAAAGTCCTGCAGTCAACAAGCACTTGAGCACAGCCAAAAGAAGATGCAAGGAAAGGGCAAGACCGAGGGCAACGGAGGGGTTCAAGCCGGTCACATCAAAAAGATCCTCGCAAGGTTGCCGCCTTGCACGTCTTGTGACATTAGCAAAAATCACCAATTGAGAGAAGCCACGATGAACACACGGAAATCTATCTTAGATGTCCACAGCAAGAACCTGCATCAAGGTCGTCACCCCAAAGCACTGCAAAGCAACGGCGGTAGCTGACAATAAACACAACACTGATGAAGATCACAAATCATCATTCATGCTGCTTCACGAGAAAGCTGCGCAGACGGCATTCGTCATCACAGCAGTACCAAAAGCATGACCGCCCAACGCAGCAAGCAGCAACAAGGAGAATTCCTCTACCAACTACCAACCTCTTTGAGTTCGCAGAGCTCGCATACACTGCAGTATGCGAACTGCAGATCACGGCAGCATTGAGGTTCTATGGCAAAGAGATTGCAGTCGGGGATCTTCGGCACTCCATTGCCGAGATGAAGAAACTGCCCAAGGCACTGCTCGGTCAGGTGATTGAGCTGTCAACCGGCCTTTCCCATATCGAGAGGCTATGGATTCAGGTCCTGCAATGGTGTTGATAGATGCCTTGCCTCATTGGTCAGGTTGACTTGCAGATTCTCAATGAATCCACCGGCGAGGTGCCTTCAAATCCCACCTCATTTTCTCCTTCCATCCAGAAGAATTTAACTTGCTCCTAGTAGCGATGCCCTTTGTTACTAGTTACTAGTAGCTTCTTGTTCCTAGTAGTAAGGCCAGGAGCCACTAGCGTCCTTAGTTGTGTTTCTTGAGGTTTACGCTCGTGATGGCCACTTGCTGAGCCGCAACATTATTGTGACGGTCCGACGCACGCCGATACAGACACAGAAGAAGCCCTCGGTCTTGAACCTAGAAGGCCGGATTGCATACATTTTGTGACTGGGTGGCAGATGTACTACTCATAGATGACATTACGGTAGCCATAGTCCGCAACAGTTGCCCTCAAATGCAGCTTTTCTTCCTTGTACGGATGTTGGCCGTTTGTGTGTCATTGGCTTGCTTCCAGTTTTGACAATACTTCTATCATACCCTTGTGAGAATTGCTGGACGGTCGTGAGTTGCATAACCCTGTTTCAGGAGCTGACCTCTTTGCACCAGTGAGGAAAAAGGCACGAGTTGTCAAGAAAGTGGAGCCTGACACTCAGTAACTGTGAGCATCACAGTGTGAGCATCACAGCATTTGTTGCTTCCACAGAGGCTTCCTTGAAGGGCCAACGCCCATGTGGAATTGCAAGTGTTAAGACATGTTAAGACACTCGGCCTTGGGAGTTTCAGGCCAGAGGTACCTGAGCAGAAGGCGCCCTGCCCACCTGAGTATTTGTGTTGGAACCTCAGAGAGAAGGACCATCTCAGGCAGTCTTGAGCTGACCTGACAAAGGCAGACATCTGACACTCAAGAAAGCCATTACTTGAACAAGTTTGCGCACTTCACGTGAATTCGAGCAACTCCAATCACATGACATTTGTCATCTGTCACCGTGAGTGGACCTCGAGGCCCTTTGTGCAGAGGCATTTTCGTTTCTTGGACGCACTCGTGTTCCTTGAACATAGATGAGTTTGACATTATATTACTATATATATATTATATATATATATACTATATATATAATATGTATGTATAATGATAGTATATCCTTCATTGGTTGAGTTGTAGTTCACCCTAAGGAGAACCCAGGAATTGCACGGTGTTGCGGACGGTCTGCCTGCTTCAGCTGCTTTGAGGACTGCAAAGAGCCAAGAGCATAGACTCGGACCTCGAAGATATCTTACCCGCACATCCTACGGATTCTATGTGGAGGCCATTGCCATTAGGTTGGAGGCCATCGCTATTAGTGTGGAGGCCACCGCTATCATGTTGTGGGCCATCGCTAGTAGTGTGGAGGCCATCTAGTAGGTTGGAGGCCATCGCTAGTAGTGTGGAGGCCATTGCTAGCAGGTTGGAGGCCATTGCTAGTAGGTTGGAGGCCATCGCTAGTAGTGTGGA